CTCCCCCCGTGTGGCCCGGCAGCGTCTGCCCTGAGAGGGACACCCTGCCCCGGCTGCCCGTCCACCAGCACCCTGGCTTCCAGGGCCTCCTGGCTGGGCGCTGGGGACACACAGCACCAGCGGGGCCGCTGACGCTCACCACAAACCGCTTTGTAAACATTCAGGTAAGTGCAGGGGGGCTGGAGGGAGAGCGCCAGCTGTTGCCTTGGGATGCTGGGGTATTAGTTCCCAGGCCGGCGACTGAGCCAGCTCTGGCGGCTTTCTGTTCTCCGCGACTCAACCGCCACCAGCTGGATGGGAATCCCGTGTTTGCAGCACCAGGGGGGACGTGTGGCTGGGTGGGGGGGACCCTGATTGCCTGGTGGCCGGCTGAGGGACAGGGGTGTCTCTGCAGGCCCCTCACTGGCGAGAAGCTACCTGGGGAGCTGGGGACAACCACAGTATATGCTGCCTGCGTTTGGCCAACCTACCGGGTCTGAACTGTGGGGCGGGGGAGGGGCAACCCGTCTGTGCTCCCCAAACCCCCGGCACCACCCCACCAGCTGGCCCAGCGGCGAGGCTTTCCTCTTGTGGCTCCCCGAGTCACCATCCCGCCTAATTTACAAACGCCTCTGGAGCGAGAGCCGGAATCCCAGGGGCCCGTCTGACACGAGCGGCCTGCACTGCCACAGTCACTGGTCATCCGGGGTCAAAGGAGAGGCCGCAAGTCACTGATCCGTCCTCAGACGCCAGAGATGCCCATTGTTAGGACGCTAGGTCAAACAACCGCGCCCTTTCACCCTTTCCGGCTGTGCCTCAAACGTGGGAACGTGTGGGTCTCAAAGGGAAACCTGCCGTGCACGGCGAGCGTGACTCCAGCCACGGGCACAGCACAGGGACACCCGCCCGGGGGCTAGGTGAGCCCGGCCTCTCCAGCACACGGAAGGGGCTCTGCTACGGAGTTTAGGGTTCCCGCCAGAGTTAAAATTCAAAGCTGGAGCAGAGAGCTTAGGTGGGGAAGGGCCACTGTCTCCGGTGACAGACAATTCCACCTGCACGGAAGATGCCAGCCAGTGTGTCCTCAACCCCCCCAGTGACGGGCTGAGAAGGGGCGTCCCAGGCCAGGGCAGGGGCAGGAGGGCGCCGCTAAGCTGCTGCTCTGGGGCGGAGAGCAGGCTCCGGGTGTCAACCCTAATCGGGGATTAGCAGGAACAGAGCCGGAGGAGGACGACAAGGGAAACTCCCGCGGGGCTGGCCGGCCACCAGGGTCGGGACAACCGCTCATGCCACACCAGCACCTGCTCTACCTAGGCCACCAGTCAGCGTGGGGACAGCGGTGGGCCTGGACAGGGCAGGGTACGACGACTCACTTACCCAGATCCTGTCTGCAAAACGTGCCATCTGAGATCAAATCAAGCAACACTTCCAGGCATCAGGGCGAGCGGAGAAACACCAGGCACCCACAGCCAATCCGCACCTGACACCGCGATGGCGACGAACCTGCGTCCTCGCAAAGCCATCAGAGCAGATCTGCCCGTTTTCAGCTTGACCCCGGTGCATTACTGCCACTTCCGGGCAGACACCGGGGAAACACTGATGTCTAAGACCCTGCAGGTGTGGCCAGCAGCACGCACAGAACAGAGAACACACAGGCCAAATCTCTGTCCCCGAACACAGAGCGCGGCCCGCTCCCACACAAAAAATGCGGGTGACCTGGGCAACACCTTCAGCTATTTCTTCGGTGTTCTCGGCTTTACCTGGCCGACCAAAGACCAGTTCCAGACCAGAGCGTTCCTCCTCTCTTCCTCAACGCTCCAGGCACGTGGGTAATCTGGAAGCATCCCATCTAAGGCAACCCTATTTTTTTTAGGCCAATCAAGAAACGTCAGGACACGAAGAGACACAACTGAAGCAGGGCCATCCCACATCTGCAGGACGCAAGGGTCATGCCTCTGCGCCGGAAGCTGTCAGGAGTCCCACGGTTAGACGTGAGGGGCGCCACAGATCACGCGGCCCAGGCTTGCTCGAATTTGACAGAGACCTGGGAAGGGGCTCCCACCTGTTCACACCACCAGCCCAAAGTATGCGCGGCCACGGAACCCAGGCCCACGACGCCAGGTCACCCGCGGGGGTCAAAGACAGCGGCCTCTTGGGGAAACGAATCCGTGTTTGCGCACATGCGTGAGGTCACATGGCTTTAAGTCCCCCACAAGAGGTGGGGTGGTTCCAGAGTCTCTGGCTGGCTCAATCAGGAAAGCTCGTGACTCTCAATCTGAGGGTTGTGAGTTCAAGCCTGGGTGTGGAGATAACTTGAGAGAGCGAGAGAGGGGGAGAGATGAGGGGGTGCCCTGAGTAGGAGATGTCCAGCTCTGGGCAGCTGGGGCACAGATTCTAGGCATCAAGACAGACGGCAGTCAGCTGACCTTGAGCTGTTTTGTTTTTTTTTTTCATCTAAAAGGTACAGTTTATTTTTTCAATAGCTCGGAACACGGTCTTTTGAGTTGATGAATTTATATTCATTTACACTCAAAGACTCTTCGTTTTTTAAATCTCTGGCTGGGCACGTCAAGGCCAGGGGGAAAGACCAGCCAGAGGGGCCCCTAGGGACTATTCTGGAGGGTGAGGCATCCAGACACGAAGCGTTCACTCTCCTTGAAGCGAATGGCCACAGGCTTCTCCCCTGAGCTGCACAGGCAGGTGAAGGAGGGTGACAGCCAAGGGTGATGAGCAAAGACTGGGGGGTACCTCCCCAAACACACCAGGCCTCGATCCCTCTGTGGAACGCCTAGAAAGAGTGGACGCCAGGGGCTTGTCATCAAGATGTCTCAAGTGTAAAAGTAAGTCACCACATCATCAGCCACGGAAGAAACACACCACAGGAGAACGCAGGAGCAGTTACGTGATAAGTCCCTGAGCTTTGAGGGCAGAGGCAGCTGGCTCCCAATCCCAGAGGCCGTGTGACCTTGGGCGGGTCGCCGAGCCTGTCTAGGCCTCAGTTTTCCCACCTGTACAATGTTGACAACGCCTCTGTGCCAGGTGTCGTGAGGACCCAAAGAGCAGATCGAGGTACCGAAAGCCCCCCGAACAATGTCCCGCAAGTGGCTGGCACTCAGCAAACGGCCACCACCTCCATGGGTCAAGGAACGCAGGCCTTTGGGAAATACATTCTTGGGCAAAAATGCATTTCTATACAAGGGATCATATTGGGGTCACGGTTACTCATCCATCAGGTGCAAAAGCAGTAAGTGTCCCGCTGGTACCGGAATCCACCTGGGACTCCAGAAGGGGCAGGGGAGCCAGGAGGGCAGTGGGCGCCTCCCACAAGTCCCTCCCGGGGCGCCCGGGGTCTGGCACACGTGATGTGTGGGGGGCAAGATCCAGCCGCTTTGTCTTGGTCCCCCATCACGGGTCCTTCGCTCTCCGGTCTGTCTCCTAACTTTCCAGAGCGCTCTGCCGCGGGGGAGGCTCACTTGCATCAGGCCGGGGCTGTGGCGAGGCTCCAGGATAGAGCGCTGCCGCGACCGCCCGCACCCGGCCACCAGCCCCGCGGCCACGAGCCGCCCTCGCAGACAACTCACCCCTTTCCGTTCGGCCTCATCATTCAGGGCGGTCACCCAGGCGGCCTGCCACTGGTTCCTCCAGCTGTTCAGCGTCAGGATCCAGGCGAGCAGCGCGTCCGACTCGGGGCGCCGGCCCTCGCCAGGCTCGGCAGCCCGCCGCGGGGGCCGGGGTCGCGCCCTGGCCAGCGCCCACTGCGCCAGGTACAGGCCCACCGTGCCCAGGGCCACGACGAAGAGCGACACCAAGAGCAGCCACTGGACCTCACCGAGCCACCAGCCCAGGCGGGACATGGTGATGGCGCATACCCGGCGCGCCTGGCCCCAACTTCCCAGGGCAGCCCCCCGGCCGGGGTGCAGGGCCCGCGGGCGGCGAGCCTAGGACATGAGCGCGCGGCCGGCGGGGCCCGCGGGGGGCGTGGAGGGGGGCGCGGCGGGGCCGGGGGTGCGCGGCTG